CCCCTTGGCCCACCGTGCGTTGCGTCCCGAGTCGTAGTCGATTGGTTGACGGTCCCGGGGGCCCGGCGACGGCCCCCCCAGACCCCCGACGTCATGATGTTTTCAATGACGCGATCCCCCGAGGTCTGGACCCTTTCCCTGGGGCCGGTTTTTCATCTCGAGCTGTTTTTTGACGGTCCCGACGCCAAGAAAAAACCCCAGAGGCCGAAGATAGCGAAAAAGGGAACAGGTGCCCTGGCAGCGCCCGCGGGTGCGGTGCGCCCTGGCCCTGGCCCCCTGCCTGCTGCCGCGCACCCCGCTGCCCATGGCGCTTTGGGCCCGCTCACGGCGGCATTCTTCCGCGCCTGAGCGTCTCCCTCCTTCTCCCCCAGTTCAGTGGTCCTAAGCATACCCTTGCCTGGGGTCGGCCTGGGTGAAAAGGGCCGTCCGCTGGATTGGGCGCTTGCCACTGCGCCCGATCAGCCTGCCGCGTGCGCGTTGGTTCAGCATCCGCGCGTCAGGACGCAACGACACGCTGAATGGCTGGTTGTTTGATTGCAGCAACATGCCCTGGTTTGCGTCAGGGACGTCTGGGGGCATCGGGGGTGTCCGCGGGGTTTAAAAATCTCGCGGGCCGCGCGCGGGCCCGCGCGGGCCCGACGGCCGCGCGGCCCCGCCTTCTCCTCCTCGTTCTCTTGCGCGCCGGACAGTTTGCCCATCGGTGCCCCCGACGCGCCCGACGCTGGCGCGGATCGCCTCCGCCTGGCCGCCGGCGGAAGACGTCTTGGAGCAGGGCTCGCTGCTGCGATGCATGCTTCTGTCGTTTCGCCGAGGCCGTGGCATCGCCCGCCCGGTCTGTTCCTTGGGGGCCCGCCCGGGCGGTCGGCCGCAGAGGCGGCCGGTCGTCCTTCCTTCGCCCTCGGGGCTCGAGGGCCGCTGCTCGGCGGGCGCCCCTCGGGTCACCGAGGATGACGGAGCCCTTGGTCCTGAAGGCGCAGTTGAAGACGTGACCGCACCGAGGCCCCCCGTCTGTGCCTTCGGGACCACAGGGCTGGGCGGTGTTTGGCTCGGTGCATCTGCAGGACAGAGCCCCTGCCCCCTGCGTTTGCGGCCCTCCTGACTTAGGTCCTTTTCCCCCCTCCTCCTCCTCTTCCTCCTCCTCCTCCTCCTCCTCCTCCTCCTCCTCCTCCTCCTCCTCCTCTCTCTTCATCCTCCCTTCCCTTTTTATCTCCTCCTCCTCCTCCCCTTCCTCCTCCTCCCCTCTTCCTCCTCCTCCTCCCCTCCTCCTCCTCCTCCTCCTCCTCCTCCTCTTCCTCCTCCTCCTCCTCCTCCTCCTCCTCCTCCTCCTCCTCCTCCCAAGGGGGTTAGAGGGGTCTTTTTTTGGTGAATGCTCTGGTGGGGCCCGCTGGCGAGGCCTGGGGGCTTGAGGGCCTGGGCCGGCGCCGTGCAGCTTTTCTCCCGACGTCGGCGGCGGCCGTACTGAGAGGCCAAGACCTCCCAGCTGGGGTCCGTTCTCCCTACCCCTATCCTTGTTCCTTATTAGAATATACCCCCACCTACCTCGTATTCCGGCCGATAACGACCCAATCGGGGACCTCCCATCCGGACTGTAAAAAATCAATACAAAGTGGCCGTTTTTCTTCTCAACATCGTCTTTCTTGTCGTCGACGATGCGAAAAGCGTGGCAGGAATGGGACGCGGCGCGCATCGCGCGCGGCAGTCAATCTGGGCCCGGCCGCCTTGACTGTAAAAAATCAATATTATCCCGGCAAAGCAACCTAACAGCGATGTGTAGGAGCATATCTGGAAGCATTCCCCTTAAGATTCAGATGAGAATCCAGTTGTAGAATTCTGCTGTTCTCGCAGTCGTAGTCGCATTCGCGATGACAGTCGCAGTGGCAACGGCAGTCACAGTCACAGCCTCAGCCTCAGCCTGCCTCAGCCTCAGCCTCAGCCTGCCTCAGCCTCAGCCTGCCTCAGCCTCAGCCTCAGCCTGCTTCAGCCTCAGCCTCAGTCTGCCTTCAGCCTCGGCGTCAGCCTCAGGCTGCCTCAGCCTCAGCCTGCATCAGCCTTAGCCTCAGCCTCAGCCTGCCTCAGCATCAGCCTGCCTCAGCCTCAGCCTCAGCCTGCCTCAGCATTCAAAATGTGGCCCGGGAATGGAGTTCTGGGAACTCGAAGAACACGAAGTGGCCTACAGTTGGCTCCGGGCATTCAAAATGTGCCCAGGAATGGAGTTCTGGGAACTCGAAGACACGAAGTGGCCTACAGTTGGCTCCGGGCATCCAAAATGTGGCCCGGGAATGGAGTTCTGGGAACTCGAAGACCACGAAGTGGCCTACAGTTGGCTCCGGGCATCCAAAATGTGGCCCGGGAATGGAGTTCTGGGAACTCGAAGAGCACGAAGTGGCCTACAGTTGGCTCCGGGCATTCAAAATGTGGCCCGGGAATGGAGTTCTGGGGGCTCGAAGACCACGAAGTGGCCTACAGTTGGCTCCGGGCATTCAAAATGTGGCCCGGGAATGGAGTTCTGGGAAGTCGAAGAGCACGAAGTGGCCTACAGTTGGCTCCGGGCATTCAGAATGTGGCCCGGGAATGGAGTTCTGGGAGGTCGAAGAGCACGAAGTGTGTGACTGTTGGCTTAAAACGACTTCTGCGGCACCCTGTCCGGCACCCGCCCAGACCCCCCTGTGGAGTCATCTGCTGCTCTCTTTTGACCCTATTATCCCGGCAAAGCAACCTAACAGCGATGTTAGGAGCATATCTGGAAGCATTCCCTTAAGATTCAGATTATCCCGGCAAAGCAACCTAACAGCGATGTGTAGAAGCATATCTGAAAGCATTCCCCTTAAGATTCAGATGAAATCCAGTTGTAGAATTCTGCTGTTCTCGCAGTCGTAGTCGCATTCGCGATGACAGTCGCAGCGGCAACGGCAGTCGCAGTCACAGCCTCAGCCTCAGCCTGCCTCAGCCTCAGCCTGCCTCAGCCTCAGCCTCAGCCTGCCTCAGCCTCAGCCTCAGCCTCAGTCTGCCTTCAGCCTCGGCCTCAGCCTCAGCCTGCCTCAGCCTCAGCCTGCTTCAGCCTGCAGCCTCAGCCTCAGCCTCAGCCTGTCTCAGCATCAGCCTGCTTCAGCCTCAGCTCAGCCTCAGCCTGCCTCAGCCTCAGCCTCAGTTTGCTTCAGCCTCAGCCTCAGTCTGCCTTCAGCCTCGGCCTCAGCCTCAGCCTGCCTCAGCCTCAGCCTGCCTCGGCCGCAGCATCAGCTGCCTCAGCATTCAAAATGTGGCCCAGGAATGGAACTAGAAGAACACGAAGTGGCCTACAGTTGGCTCCGGGCATTCAAAATCATGCCCAGGAATGGAGTTCTGGGAACTTGAAGAGCACGAAGTGGCCTACAGTTGGCTCCGGGCATTCAAAATCATGCCCAGGAATGGAGTTCTGGGAACTCGAAGAGCACGAAGTGGCCTACAGTTGGCTCCGGGCATTCAAAATGTGGCCCGGGAATGGAGTTCTGGGAACTCGAAGAGCACGAAGTGGCCTACAGTGGGCTCCGGGCATTCAAAATGTGGCCCGGGAATGGAGTTCTGGGGACTCGAAGACCACGAAGTGGCCTACAGTTGGCTCCGGGCATTCAAAATGTGGCCCGGGAATGGAGTTCTGGGAAGTCGAAGAGCACGAAGTGGCCTACAGTTGGCTCCGGGCATTCAGAATGTGGCCCGGGAATGGAGTTCTGGGAGGTCGAAGAGCACGAAGTGTGTGACTGTTGGCTTAAAACGACTTCTGCGGCACCCTGTCCGGCACCCGCCCGGACCCCCCTGTGGAGTGATCTGTGAGCTCTTTTGAGTCAACTAGAAACCTATCAGTCTACGCTGTTAGGTAATGAGAATCCAGTTGTAGAATTGTGCTGTTCTCGCAGTCGTAGTCGCATTCGCGATGACAGTCGCAGTGGCAACGGCAGTCACAGACACAGCCTCAGCCTCAGCCTGCCTCAGCCTCAGCCTCAGCCTGCCTCAGCCTCAGCCTGCCTCAGCCTCAGCCTCAGCCTGCTTCAGCCTCAGCCTCAGTCTGCCTTCAGCCTCGGCCTCAGCCTCAGCCTGCCTCAGCCTCAGCCTGCATCAGCCTCAGCCTCAGCCTCAGCCTGCCTCAGCATCAGCCTGCCTCAGCCTCAGCCTCAGCCTGCCTCAGCAGGCCTCAGGTGGCCCGGGAATGGAGTTCTGGGAACTCGAAGAACACGAAGTGGCCTACAGTTGGCTCCGGGCATTCAAAATCATGCCCAGGAATGGAGTTCTGGGAACTCGAAGACCACGAAGTGGCCTACAGTTGGCTCCGGGCATCCAAAATCTGGCCCGGGAATGGAGTTCTGGGAACTCGAAGACCACGAAGTGGCCTACAGTTGGCTCCGGGCATTCAAAATCTGGCCCGGGAATGGAGTTCTGGGAACTCGAAGAGCACGAAGTGGCCTACAGTTGGCTCCGGGCATTCAAAATGTGGCCCGGGAATGGAGTTCTGGGGATTCGAAGACCACGAAGTGGCCTACAGTTGGCTCCGGGCATTCAAACTGTGGCCCGGGAATGGAGTTCTGGGAAGTCGAAGACCACGAAGTGGCGTACAGTTGGCTCCGGGCATTCAGAATGTGGCCCGGGAATGGAGTTCTGGGAGGTCGAAGAGCACGAAGTGTGTGACTGTTGGCTTTGCAATAGTCATTCTGTTTATCTGATAATGCTGGTCCCTGCTATTGCTGTTGCATGCTCTCACCCCTCTGCCCGTAAACATATTGGCTGAGGGGGCCCCCTTCTGCCTACGCTACCAGCTAGCATAACGTATCACTTGCAGCGAGAAGGTCTTGGAATAAAAGATTCACGCATATTGTCAGCACCTGCGTGTGCGTTGCATTGGCAGCGGAGCGTGTATTCCGAGCTCCCTCGCAGGGAGAACACTTCGGCACCAGACAGTTCCCTTCCGGACACTCCCGTGCAGTCGGACAGACTCCGACGGATATCACATCTCGCACGATGGCTGACCGGAGGCCTGCTGCTGCCGCTGGTTCTCGCGGCGCCACCGCCGCACCGAAGAAGTACGGAGATCGTCGATACAGAGGCAAGCACCCTCGAGAGGGAGCCGCGGCAGCGGCAGCGTCTGTGCCCGACGACGAGACCTACGAAGAGGAATGGGCCGACGAGTGGGCTGGTGAGGACTGGGCCGAGGACGACGACGAGGAGTCGGAGATTCCACCGAGTTCGGCGGAGTTTCGACGCACCCGAGGTGATCGCAAGAAGTGGCGCGGAGGACCATGCCCAGCCCCACCTCCACTCGAGGCCAGGTTTCAGAATATATACAAGCAGCCGAGATACTACCAGAAGTGGGTTAGGAAAGTACACATGTGGAAGGCCAGGGCGCGACACTACAAGCCGATGGCCGAACTGGCCCTGGACCTTTCAGACGTCATCACGGGTGAAGGCGCAGAGATGATCGAGTCCTTGGAGTGGACCCGGTTGTATTCACAGGATGGTATTGATTTGGTGATCAACTCCCTCGCCGTGTTTGATGAACAGCAGATCCTACAGGTTGGAGACCTCATGGAAGAGTATGAAGAAGTGGAGCGTCTGCCCGGTGAGCTGCTGGCTGCATACGTCGCGCATTTCAAGGATCTCGAGATGCGGCTCAAGCGGGCAGAGCTCCCAGCTCAGCAAGGACAATTTCGAGCATTCAAGTTGTTGCGAAGTTCATGTTTATCGCCGGAGGTCCGGCGCAACCTTCTCCTCGCCACGGGCAATGAGTATGACTTCGACCGCCTGGTTCAGGCTATGAGTGTGCAGTGGCCGTCCACCGCCCCCAACTGGGTCGCACCAGTACGACGGATGGCACGTAAGAGACTCGGTGAGGCGGCCGCTCCTGAACGCAGGTCAGCTGGTCGAGATTCCGACAAAGGAGGCGGCAAAGGACGAGATAGACAGCCACCGAGTCGAGCTCCTCGACCGCCGCCGAAGCCGCCCCACGTCAGCGAGGCTGACATTATTCCCGAGGACGAGGCTGAGGAGAACGAAGATGAAGATGACCCCGATCAAGCAGAAGTCAATGAGGCTTACGCCGAGGAGGTTGACAGTATCCAGGTCATGCAGGAGGTGGCGGACGCTTTGACCGTCACCAGCGACAAGTTGAAGAAGCTGACCTTGGGCCGCGGGTGGACCGGAAGGTCCTCACCGCCGAAGCCTGGAGACCGACGCCCGCCACCGCGGTCAGCGCCCTCTGGGGGTGCCACCGCCCCTGCGGGCCGGCCGCCCCCAGCGCCGCCCGGCAGGCCGCCGCAGACATCGTCAGCACCGCCACAGAGAGGCACTGCGACGCCGCCGGCCGGCACGTCTTTTTCAGGAAGCATTCGTGGAACATTTACGGGAGACCGATCCGGAGATTCAAGAGCACCGGCGGCATCTCAGAGGCCAGGGTTTCGCCAGACGTCTTCGAGGACCGGCTACAAGGATAAACGAGATCGAGCTCGTGCCGTTCATGATGCCTCGATCGATCAGGACGAACCCGCCGATGAAGATGATGAGGAGTACGCCGCCGATGCAGTTGAGCACGAGGCCTTAGTCACGCACCTCTCGCCCGACGAGCTGCAGCAGCGCGTGGCCGCCTTCAAGAGCAGGGTCGCCACCAGCGACAAGGGGGCCTCCCACGTTCGATTTCAGGCAACGCCAGAAGTGCGTCAGTTTTCCGTGGATTCTCGCGGAGCTCAGGCGGCGAGAAGCGGGACAAAATCATCGCATCAGGTCGACGTCATCTGGCATGTCCGGACGCCCCTGGACGTTTGCTTCCTCGAGGATTCCCAGGGTTTCTACATTGTCATCGACACAGGTTGCCAGCGCAACGTTGTGGGCTACGAGTGTTTGGGAAAGTTTCTGGAACATATTGCCTACCTGGGATTGAGTTTCTGGGAAGCTGAGGAGCAAGAGAGGTTTCGGTTTGGAGTCAGTCGTGCGGTGAGCAAATCTGTGGTGTATTTCCCGATATGTCTTGAACATGTGGTGCCCCTGGTTTGCCGTACCTCAGTCTTGGACGTGAACCCTAAGTTGCCTTTCTTGGGATCGTTACCGATGTGGAAGCTCCTGGGCCTCCAGCTGGACACCTTGGGGGAAAGGGCTCATTTCGCCAAGATCAACCTGTGCGACGTGCCCTTGAAGATTGCCCCGAATGGCCACTTGCTTCTGAGAGTCGACTCTTGGTTGAAGGATGTGGGGTTCCCAAGGGAGCCCGAGGCCTGGAAGTTCACCCCCTCGGACGTCATCATCCCGGAGCCCCAGTGGATCCCAGAGGCACCAGCCTGTGTTTCCGGAGAGAGTTGTGCTCAAGCCGAGTCTCAGCCTATGCAGTTTTCACGCGCAGCACTGTGTGCTCTTACATATACTCACCGCGGGCTGCGTCAGCCTCGCGAAGTCCTGCCCTCCGTGCCAGACGGCTGTAACCTGACCGACGCCACGCCCGTGTTCGAGAGCATCCTCGGTCTGTCGGTGAATGAAGTCGGTCAAGTCGGAGTCGCAGGAGGCCCGATCGTCTCGTCGTGCAGTTCAGCTGACGAGGCAGAACCTGGCGATCAACGCGTGGACGAACCTGATGCAGCTGATCATGAACCACCTGTCGCACATCATCGGTCGCAGTCGCGAGCAGTTCCGGCAGAACACGGAGATGTCGAACCGGATGATGGGCGCGATCGCGCAGATGGGCCACGAGATGGGCTACCTGACACCGATGGCGGACTCAGTGAAGGCGATCGCGAGAGGAGCCGCACAGGTTCCAGAGAGCGTGCTGCCACCGCCGCCGGCACCAGAGGATCAAGCCCAGAACTACTCACAGTTGTGCGAGAAGAGGGACGTGTGCGCCCATCCGACAACGAGGAGGTACTACGCCAAGGGGTACTGGCTGATCTGCGACCAGTGCGGCCGGCGGTGGAAGTCGGTCAACGGGAAGTGGATCGTGGACGACAAAGAAGATCCTCTTCGCGTACCTACCTCGACAAAGTCACTGGGTTCCTCCTCGCGCTCTCGGCCAGCTGCTTCAACAATGCCGAAACGCCCGGTCAAGTCTTCGGCGAGCTCGAGCCAGGGTCGTACGCGGACCAAGGCGGAGCCAAGGTCACCCTCGGAGCAGGCGGTTCCGACGGACGAGGAGTACGACGAGAACATGGACAGGACCTCCGGGGGCGAGGAGACGGACCAGGGATGGGACAAGCTTCCTCGCCAGCCTCCCCCGCGTCGGGGACCGAGATGGTGAAGAGAGGCGCCTGGAAGCGCCTTCTCGGCATTGCTAAGAAGACGACCGCAGCCTGCGAGACGCTTATTAACGTGAGTCAAGATGCCGATCGCCGAGCTGCAGATTTACGAGACGCGGAATGGTGCTGTTCAGACGTGGCCTTCATGGACATTCCCGTTCCTGAGTTGCCCGACCACCGGCACCTGGACAACGAGTGCCAGGCGTGCGGCACCGACCTCATCGAGGGCTGCGCAGGGACAGCAAGACCTACGCGACTAGCTTCACGCTTTGAGCTGAGGGCCTCGCCGAGCGCCGACATAGAGGACGGCTGGGACTTGTCAACTACGCGAGGTGCTCAGAGATGGAAAGATCAGATACTGAAAGACAAGCCACTCTACGTGATCGTAGGCTTCCCCTGCACGCTCTGGTGCTCCTACAATGTCAATGTGAATTACGTCGACCATCCCGAGTTGCTTGAGAGACTTCGTGCTCGGGACCGACGGTTGATTGACTTGATCAAGTGGACCATCAAGTACCAGGTGAAGCATGGCCGGTTCTTCTTGTTCGAGAACCCGCCGACGTCAGCGATCTGGAAGGACCTCCAGTTCGCCCCGCTCCTGCCTTTGGGCGAGACCGTTATTGGCCATGGGTGCCAGTACGGGAAGACAGGCAAGACTGGCCTGCCGATTCGCAAGGCGTATCGCTGGTTCTCCAACTCGCCGCCCGTGCTTGCGGCTCTGAGCCGCCGCTGCCCAGGACTTCGTCCGGAGTCCGGGGGCCACTTGCACGATCAGATTGAGAACTCGAAGTGGACAAAGGCCAGCGGCGAGTACACCGACGAGATGGCCCACGCGATGCTCCACGCGATCCAGCAGGTCGCCGCCCAGAGGAATCCGAGCAGGTTCGCCGACATGCCGGTTGCGGCTACCGAGTGGGAGGTCGCCTACAACCACGCAGGTCCCATCGAGGTGCTGTTCGCCTCGCCAGAGAAGGACCCCACCAGGTGGGAGGCGGTCATGCAGGGCGTCCGACAGATCGTGGGCGGTTCCGCCAGCCGAGGCGGGAACAAGGCCATGCATTACCTTTCGAAGTCGTCCACGCTCTGGAGACAGATTAGCCAGCTCGTCCCGTGGGACCTCGCGATGATCCAGCTCGCGAAGTCAGCCAAGCAAAGGAGGTTCCCCATCAACGAGGAGCCGTGGTCTCACCGTGGTCACTGCTACGTGGACGAGAAGGGACACTACCATATCGAAGCCGAGGACCTGGTTGACGTGGCCTTCCCGACGTTGGCCTTGTCGCCGCCCGCGGACCTAGCCGTTTTCTTCTTCGGCTATGCCAAGCAGGAGTCCCTCCCGCAGGAGCCTGACACGTCACAGATAGAGAAGCGAATGCCGCTTCCCCCGGACCCGAACGACCCGATGCTGCCGAACAACAGCCTGCCGCCCGACGAGGACGACGACCTGCAGGACGTCCCGATCGCTCGGATGCCTGACGCGTCCGGCGGTATGGCTGGTATACGTTTTGTTGGAGTGACAAAGGAGCAGTGTCCTCGCGAAGTTCGCCAGCTTGTCGCTCGTATGCACTGTAACTTGGGACATCCGGTGCCCAGCGAGTTCTTCCAGTTCCTGGCTCAGAGAGGCGCCTCGCAGGCCACGCTGCTGTGCGCCAGAGCGCTGAGGTGCCCGGCGTGCCTTCGTCGCAAACGGCCTCAGCGACAGCGGGAGTCACAGATTCCAAGGGTGGGTCTGTTCAACGACTTAGTCGAGGGCGATTTGTTCTACGTCATGACCCACGACGGTACGACACACGCACTCTTGGGACTGGTGGACAAAGCTACGAGACTACATGTGGTGTGTCGGATTGTTTCACGCGAACCAGGAGACGTCTGGGAGAAGTTCCAGACGTGCTGGCTCACCCCGTTCGGGATTATGCAGATTCTGGTTGTCGACAGGGACGGCGCCTTCGAAGCCGTGTTCATGGACAACTGCCACACGTTGGGAATCGACGTGAGGTACGTGCCGCCGGGAGCTCACTGGCAGTTGGGCCTGGCCGAATCCGGCAACTACGCCTGGCGCCGAGTCTTCGAGAAGGTGATCGACGTCATCCTGCCGACGATGCCAGAGCACGTGGACCTTGCGATCATCTCGACGAGCCACGCCGTGAACCAGTCAGTGCGCCGAGCAGGCCGCACCGCCTATGCCGCCGCCTTCGGACGGGTACCCACGCTTCCGACCGAGCTCTTGGCTGACACCACGTCCGCCGAGTTCTGGCACAATTGCACCCAGGATGAGATGCTGGCCTACGGGGAGAGATGCCGCATTGAGGCGCTCAAGGCGATCGCCGACCTGGAGGCCGACGAGGCGCTGCGCACCTCCATCCTCCGCCAGCCTGTCAACCGCAAGGAGTACGACTTCCTCTCGGGACAGCGCGTGGCAGCCTGGGGCGAGCATGGTCGCAAGCGACGGGGCAAGACGCCCGTGGCAGGGTATCGCCCAGGCATTTTCTGTTTCTGGGATTCCGGCACCAACGGCTACGGCGAGGGCGAGTCTGCCTGGTTGCGGATCGGGCACCGCACTGTGCAGGTGGCCCGCGAACACATACGCCCAGCCGTCGGTTTCGAGGGCTGGACCCCTTCCGAGGAGGACCTCAAGGAGCTCAAGACGGCCGAGCAGGACTTGGCGAAGGCCGGCCAGGGCGACGCTTCGAACATCATCATTGAGGGCCCTCCTGAACAACAACCCGAACCAGAAGATCCTCAAGCACGAGTGCTGCCAGGACCTCTTCCGGCAGCCCCGCTAGAGCCCATCCTGGAGGAGCCCGCGCAGGCCTCTCTGGGAGACAACGCTACCAAAGAGAACTTCAGGAGCGCGTCAGCCGACGACGCCCCTGAAGCTGCGCCAAATGCTGAACTTCCTCAACTTGCCGACGCATCGGAGTCTCCGACGCCGA